CAGGCGGGTCTCGAACCCACGGGCTCAGGCAATCCACTCACCTCAGCCTTCCAAAGGCGTGGGATTACAGGCTGAGCCACCGAGCCCAGCTAGTATTTCTCTTTAGGTATTAAATTGGCAACAAGGGAGATGTTGGAGAGATAATTCAAACGTTGGAGAAGAAAAATGGCTTAAATCAATGGACTACAGAGAGCTAGGTTTTAATTTTATGTCTTCTACTACCATGCTCTGAGCCCATCCAGGTACTTATTGTCCTGTGTCTCCCAACTCCACACTCTTTATCTTGGAGAGCAAGAGTGGTACAGCCCATAATCAAAGGATGTGCTGGTCCCCACCATGCAACATGAGAAATTCAGAAGAAGGTACCAGAAGATCTTTAATTAGATGTGAGTAGTTTGTGTCAATCCATGAAGGACCTCTGGTCAACTGTGTGTTTGGAAGAGATTCCTCTCTCCTATTCAATCCACGCTTCACACATAGCAGTGATGGCTGAATTATCTAACCTCCAGGCACTCTACACTGCTGTCCCCTCTGCGTTGACAGAGAAATCTCTCTTTCCTGGACACTTTCTCTCTTTCTCACTCACCTCTGGATGAATTAATGACATGGAAAACAATGAAGAAAATATGGGAGAATAGTTTTATAATCTTTGAGAGAGGGGAATTAAATTTCTTAGCAAGTTATTAAAATAAAAGACCAGAGAGGGAAAGATAAAAAATTTAACTACATTCAAATTAAAAACTTTCTTATGAAAGATACCATAACTAAAGTTGAAAGACTTAGGAGAAGAAGTTATTCAGTATATGTAACAGACAAATGAGTAAAAGATAGGAATTGGACATTCTCAAAAGAGAAAACTTGTATGGTCAAGAAAAATGAAAAGATGGTCAACCTTTAAGTCCATTTGGGATTTGCAAATAAAGCAAGAATAACAATATCCCCCCCATAAAATTCACGTATCAGATATCAAGACATACTATAAAGAACTACATTAATTAAAAATATTTGGCATTTGACATGCAAAAATTAACAAACAGATCAATGAAAAATAAACTTCAGAGATACATCTGGTATATATCCAAGCAATTATGGTAAAGGTAACATTTCAAGTCACCTTTTTTGGGGGGGACAATTATCTATTTCAGAAAAAAATTGTAAATGCTACTCCCCACCCCAAACACAGGTACACAAATAGTACAGTATCACAGGGTACAGAGGTAAATAGTCCCCCTAGAAGCATTCTGATGAGATGTCTAAAGGATAGGCACATGCTGGGATATAGCAAAAATGTTCCCACAAGTTCCAAGGATCAAAAGATGGGGGAGAGGTGGGGAGAGAGGACAAGGTAAACACATTATGGAAATATGAATAGAGCATTGTATGTCCAGAAAATTAGGAGAAGTTTTCTTGTTGCTAGAAGAAACAGCATGATATTGAGTGAAGGAAGTTGAGGCTGGAAAGCAGGCAGGCTTCTGGTTAGGAATCGCATTTGCTATCAAACTGAGGTGGATTTTTTTTGCTTGTTTTCTTTGTTCATAAAAGATGCAAACCTTTCTCTCTCTCTCTTTCTTTTTGCTTTTTTTTTTTTTTGAGTTGGAGTCTCACTCTGTCGCCCAGACTGGAGTGCAGTGGCCGCTCCCGGCCACCGCAGCCTCGACCTGCTGGGGGCTCTGGCGATCCTTCCGCCTCAGCCTTCCAAGTAGCTGGAACTACGGGCGTGTGCTACCACGCCCGGCTAATTTTTGATTTATTGTAGAGATGAGGTCTCGGTTTTTCTTTTTTAAAAGAGGGGTTTTGATACGATTCTCTTAGACAAGGCGAGTCAGTGAAGATTTTTTTGCCTGGTGTACATTGGATAGAGGTAAAATTGGAAGCAGAGATAAAGGGGAAGAGGAAAGATTGATAAAGCAGTATAATGGGAATGGAGAAAAGATTACATCCTTCACTCAAATATTCCAGAAATAGTGCTGAGGAGTCATTTAGTGCCAGGTGCTGTGCTAGGCTCTGGAAATACAACTGTAAGCAAGGCAAATTCTCTCAGTTTGGGAGCGGTGTCAAATGATAGGCAAACCAATAATAGGGGTTTACTAGAAGTAGCATAACAATATTTTAATACAAGTGTCTATTTTACACTTATAACATGAGATTGTGTATTCAAGGGTTGCAAACAGAAAATGTACTCAGGGCACCGAATTAATGAATGAAGGGTGGGGATAATCTAGTGGGGTATGGTTGTGAGACTCTAGGGGTGGAGGGGAGGGAACTAGGATATGTTTGTTCTGCCTAAAAATCTTTAAATAATCATGATGATGATAATTAGGTTTTATGCAGAAAATTGACTTATAGAACCCTGTTTTCTAAATTTTTTTGAGTTGTCTCCCAGGCTGGAGTGCAGTGGCACACTCAGGGCCACCGCAGCCTCGACCTGCTGGACTCAGGTGATCCTTCCGCTTCAGCCTTCCAAGTAGTTGGAACTGTAGGCACGTACCACCATGCCTGGTTTTTTAAAAATTATGTGCCTAGAAAGTGATTAGCTTAAAACTAGCATAAGACAGAAACTCAGTAAATGTTAGTTATTGTTCTTACTATGTTACAGTTCGGTGAACTAAGTTTGTGATGTGGGAGAAAGAGGCAAGCA